GTACACCAGTGGTCTCTTTCTTTTTCAAGACATTCCAAATTGTCGTTTTGGCTACGCCCAAGATATGTGCAATGCCTCGGATTGATTTTCCCTCTTTTCTCAGCTGTCAAATGGTTTGATTTTCTCCCATAGACAGCTTATCATTTTAACAACAAATGCAGTCTTCACAGGTGAAACTGAAGGTTAAAACCAAGCATAGATGTTCAGAGCTATATATCGTTCAAACAATCTAACAAGACACACCTGGATAACAAGAAACACCTGTCACACGTTGCAATATTTTTGCTCGCCTAAAAATTGGGTGTTCTGATACAAAATGTGCTATGTTCTATGTAGTTTAACACATCTACATCTAAATACCAGGACTAATAATTAAATAACAGCTGTGAATTTGGATTACTGTGTTTAGCATAGATTTCATTCTTAATTTGACTGAATTTTGTTATCTATACAGGGTTGCATAGAAATACTTTTCATTTAGAGTCTAATGTGGTGCAGAAAATGAATGATGAGGATATTCACAGCAATAAAGTACAGCACTGCGAGCAGTAGTTGAAGCACTGGGTTTATATTAGCCAAAGACATTTGGTCAGCTTGAGTCAGAAAAGGGCCTGCATTTTGGTAAATGAGTCTCAAAACACACAGCGTCATGAGAATCTGTTTGGACATATGGGGAGTATTACTGAACATGATGAGCATAATGTACCTCATAAAAGAGAGAACAGAGCCATGCTTGGTCACTGATCCTATCTGACAAAGTCTTATTATAGTAAAGGTTCATGTGAACCGCCTGAAATACCTTCCTGAAATACTTGCTGACCTGAGGGTAACTCGACATTTTTCATTTCTCCGTGACAGCTTAAGCACTAATCTATAACCCCTGAATTTTTCCCACTGCTATTTGTGGTACTGTTTGCAATTGGTGAAGATTTACAGTATACACTGTTAATATAGAATGATTTCTATGTGATGAGTTTGTATTACCGAATACCTACTGCGGCGAATGTTTTTTTCCGAGCCAACATCCAATTTCTCTTCATGTTGTTCAGGAAATGGCCAAAAAACGACACTTTTAATGTTCAATTTTTAACAAAGTTTAATCGATTCATTTTAGTTACTAAATAGGTTTAGGGAATCTTATAGACAAAATGTGCTTGCCTTTTTGGTTTCCAGTTATAAATGAATTCTGTTTAGAACTATGTTTTGAAAAGCTTTCATAATAAGATAATTTGTCGGAGCTTCAGAGTTTATCATCCGGGATTGATCACAGTTTTATTTTGGACGGCAGAAACATTTTGGATTCGAGATCAGAACAGTTTAGTAACATGCAATATTAAGTTTAGGAAGAATTTGCCTTGGAAAGCATTCAAACTCCTCTTCCAATGATCATGTGGTCATTTCGGAGAGGAGGAAAAAAAAATGTTGATACAGACCTCACATATATCTGTCTTTGGCATGGCGTCAGGAAAGGAACTTCTGAAAGGCCTCTTGGATAGTAAACATGCTGTGAAGCATGTGATCCTGTCATATTGCTTTGTGTTTGCTCTGGGTGTTTGTTACAGCAACAGCTTGAAGCAGAAGTCTGAGGAAAATGTAGATGGACTTGGAAGGGTGGGGGGTGTGTAGAGCGGAGAGGAGCAGGGAACTCATATGAGAAATGTGCATGTGATGATGAACTTTCTTGGCTTCTGTAGCAGACAGGCTGAAAATTCCACAGTTGGTACAACTACTGAATCAGAGCCAAGTCAATCATCTGTATGATCATGCAGCAATCCTTTAAACCTTCAGTGTAGATTTAACTCTTCATGGGATAAAGTCCATCCATCCATCCATCTTCTACCGCTTACTCCTTTTCAGCCTATCTGGAGCCTATCCCAGGGAGCATCAGGCACAAGGCGGGGCACACCCTGGACAGGGTGCCAGTCCATCGCAGGGCACAATCACATACACACACACACCCATGGGATAATGTACAGAAGAAAAAAAAGACTCCTGTTTTCATGTAATAGAAACTTGTAGCTATTTGTTTTATGTAAAAAGAAAAGAAGGGCTAAATGGACAATTTTTCATGCTAATCACACTAAAGCTGTGTAATATGTCAAATACCTGCTGTGGTTTTACACATGATGCTGTGATACTTGACCCATATTCTGCTCCTCCATGATTGACGATGTTTTTATGATTCTTTCTGTAATCCAACCTATCCAACCATGTTCCAAACTGAGGAATGAAATTTAAGTCCACTATAAAGCTTTTACTACAATGGAACTCCAAAGTTAAGGACCAGATATTAACCACTGCTCGGGAAAAGAAACATATGGAGGCCATTTCCTGTCTAAAGTAATCAATTTGATGTCGTTTCTAAATCTGTAACACATCTCACTTTATGGGTTTACACACACCATCATTTTACACCCAGGGTTTTGACACTTTGTAGCTTCAATCGGAAAACATTACACTAGTGAGATGTTTCAATCAAAACTCTTGAGCAAGAATCGTGATTGTGTGCTTTCGCAGCAAATCTGTACTTTAGAAATACAAGTTATAATCACAGTTGCATTTATGATGGATTTATTAATCTGATTATAGATTTGCAATTCATAAATGAACAACCATGAGTGCATTTTGTGTGTGGTTACTTTTGACACGAAAATAACTTGAGGGGTCAAAGCAATGAGGTGAAAATTGCTTTCAGCTGGAGTTGGGAAATAGGGGTGCTGTGAGAAAGCCAACTTCTTTGGCTAAATGTATACATCAATCAGGAATAACATTAAAACCACATGCCTAATATTGTGTAAGTCTCCCTTGTGCCAATAAAACAGCTCCGACCCATCGAGGCATGGACTTTTGAAGGTGTGCTGTGGTATCTGGCAAGTCCTTAAGTCTTGTTGTGAGGTGAGGCCTGCATGGACTGGACTTGTATGTTCAGCACATCCCACATATGTTCGATTAGATTGAGATTTTGGAGGCGAGTCAACACCTTGAACACTTTGTCATGTTCCTCAAACCATTCCTGAACAATTTTTGCAGTGTTGCAATGAAGGGATGTACCTGCTCTTCAACAATGTTTAGGAACATTGGTGGTACATGTGAAGGTGACATCTACATGAATGCTAGGACCTGATGATTCTCAGCAGAACATTGTCCAGAGCATCGGACTACCTCCACCGACTTGCCTTCATCCCATAGTGGATCCTGGTGCCATCTCATCTCCAGGTAAGCGACGCACACGTACCCGGCATGATCTAAACGAAAATGTGATTCATCAGACCAGGCCACCTTCTTCCATTGATCCATGGTCCAGTTCTGATGCTACTATGCTCATTGTAGGCTCTTTCGGCAGTGTACAAGGGTCAGCATGGGCACTCTGAAAGGTTGTGCAGCCCTATATACAGTAAGCTGTGATGCACTGTGTGTTCTGACACCATTCTATCATAGTTAGCATGAACTTTTTCAGCAATTTGTGCTACAGTAGCTCTTCTGTGGGATCGGACCAGAGGCTACCCTTCGCTCTCCACACACATCAGTGAGTCATAACCCTGTTGCCAGTTCACCGGTTGTCCTTCCTTGGACCACTTTTTGTCGGTACTAACCATTGCATACTGGGATTACTGTACAAGGCCTGTTATTTAGAAGATGCTCTGACCCAGTCGTCTAGCCATCACGATTTGGCCCTTGTCAAATTTGCTCAGATCCTTAACCTTGCCCATTTTTCCTGCCTCCAACACATCAACTTCGAGAACTGTTCACTTTCTGTCTAATATATTCCACAACTTGACAAATGCCACTGAAATTAGATAATGTCATTTACATTACCTGTCAGTGGTTTTAATGTTATGGCTGATCGGTGTATATTATGATACAATATATGATACTATATACTGTGATCATATATTGTAGAAATGCCTTCAAGTATTTTGATATGATATTTATGATATTTATTAGCAAAACAAAAAACAAAAAAAAACTGTTCTGTGAACTTTCTCCATCATAAAGCATTTCATTTCCTGCACAAGGATAAACTGTGTTGAATGCTTTTGGATCTGGGTCAGGCGTTATCTTGGAATGATTTGTTATGCTGTTTTTGCAGGTTTTATTACACATTATTTATTACATATTAAATGCATCGTAATTCATTTCTCCTCCATAAAATATATAATGACTTTGTTTCACAAGGATACTCTTCAGTTCTCTTTCTTATTTTCATCGACTGCGTCTGCTGTCAAGTAACTAATATTTTCATAAATTTTTAAAAGAAGAAAAACAGATTTGTCACTCATACTGAGGAGCTGTGTAAGCATCTCTGATGAAATTTAAGCTAAAATGTAACATTATTTATCCACCTTCACATTCAGACATTTTTACCTACAGTATATACTAAGAATGTACAGAATATAAGCAGCAGCGGTATCACCACAGTTCTCAGTATAAAAAGCCCAATTTTCAAGATAGAAAGCTCAAATGACCCCAAGCTGAGAAACTCGGTATCAACTCACGTGACAGTGACATTAATTTCCACTGAGGGCAGTTAAACAGCCTTATTGTTAATGTTGAAAACAAAAGTGAATATAGACCAAATTGTTGATGAAAGACATTTAAGCCAAAAAAGTCCAGTATTTAACTATAAAATTAATTGTTTGCACTATTGAAGGTCACATATTGATTATAATATTGTCATTCAGGGTGGACTTTTCTTTTTTCCTAGTGCTTAGTACACACCAAGTTAAAAAAATTGTTACTATATACGTAGTTGCACTTAGTAGGTATACAATTTTAAAGAATTAATAATAACACCCAACTAATATCAGGTCACCGGTGGACCCACGATGGCCCCGTTCCATTGATGGACACTTAGAGAGTAACCTATATGGTGAGTGTAATTACACACAGTGTATATACAGTGTGGGCAAAAGGTCTGAGACCACTAAAGAAAATGCTTCTATTTTGCATGTTTTACAAATTTAATACAAAATATTTAATTCCATAAATGATATCATCAGGGGCACATGGTGGTTTAGTGGTTTGCACGTTTGCCTCACACCTCCAGGGTTGGGGGTTCGATTCCCACTGTGGCCCTGTGTGTGTGTTTGTGAGTTGGCATGTTCTCCCGTGCTTGCGGGGGTTTCCTCTGGGTACTCCGCTTTCCTCCCCCACTCCAAAAACATGCATGGTAGGCTGATTGTGTCTAAAGTGTCTGTAGTGTATGAATGGGTGTCTGAGTGTGTATGTGATTGTGCCCTGCGATGGATTGATACCCTATACAGGGTGTATCCCCCTTGTGCCCAATGCTCCCTGGGATAGGCTCCAGGTTCCCTGTGACCATGAAAAGGATTAAGCTGGATGGATGGATTTACATGAATTTGAAGATTTTATTTGGTATTTGGTATGTCTCCTTCTTGCTTTAATTACAGTGTGCACTCGAGCTGGTATGGATTCCACAAGTTTGTGTAAAACCTGAAGATTCATGTTAAATCAAAATCACGGGAGCGTCGTCTGAGCACGTTCTTCAGTGGAACAGATAAATCTTAGGGAATATATGACCTTTTGTACAAAGTTACAAATTTGCTTAAATTTGAACAGTGACCAACAAATAATGCAGAATCTTGAAATTTCTTGAACATTTCCTTTTTCTTTGTTTTCATTATTTCTTTCAAACTCTGTTTATTTCCAGTTATAAATGAAAAGAAAAACAACAGAATTTCAATGTGGTCTAAGACCTTTCGACCCCTGCCGTATGTAAAGCCCATGTTTGGGCCAGAGTTAATCTTGCTGGTAAAATGATCAGGCTTACCTTCTATATTTCATGTACTTATCAGGAGCACTTTTATCGAGGTGCCGTCTCCAGTTCTGCCGGAGATCCTGGCACACAGATTCAATGGGCAGGCCCATAATAATAGGTATTTCCCTGATGATTCTGTCCATGTTGTGGCTAAAATCATTGTCTCTATGTTTGTAATGCTCCTGGGGATCTTTAATGAAACTTTCTCAGTCACAATGCAGTATCAGTAGCAGGAGAATAATGTAAAAGACTATTCTGCCACACAGCTTTTTGAACTTAACTGTAGGTAACTGAGAAATCATGTTCCATCAAAAGTTCCCCTCTGTTCATCCATGTGCTGTCATGCCATACAAAGCTGAAGAATTACTGCATATTCTTATAAATGAAAAATTCTGTGGTGAAAATGTTCCCTGCATGGTTTTACTTTTTTATGTTCCGTCATTTGCAATAAGGTCTTGTCTACAGATTGCAGACTAAGCTAGCTAACATGCCCTAGCTGGGAACGCTAGCAGACATGTTTGAGTTAAATTTATAAATGTTTGCAGCTTTGTATAACCACTATGCTAATCAGTAAGCTGACACGAGATAATCAGACAGGATTTCAGGGAGAATTTGATCATATTTATAATATTTAAGAGATGATGCGAGACAGCTAGCTAACATGAGATTACCAGACAGGATATTTTAGAAGACATATTCAATATATACTGTATACTGCTTATGCAAGCAAGCTGACACCACCTATCTTGACAGGATTTTTGGTGGAATTTTAGAGTCATCATTTGTAAATGGCATAATCGTGGCTAACGATAGTAAGCTTACAAAGTCAGTTTATAAATGTTTGCATATATTATTTTGTATAAATAAATCTGTCATGACCTATCTGACAAGATTTTTTTCAATGAATATTCATAATATATACTGCTTACGCTAGGTAGTAATGTCAGCAAACTAGGATTTCCTAGAGAACTGCTAAGTCACCATTGGTTCACAAAATTTACCACGTACAATAGTTTATGAATATAGATTATGAATATGGCTTAAACATACGCACAGAAATCCTGACAGTCTGGCTACAGTAAGGGACTTTTTGAACTTTTGAGAACTAAAGGTGTGTTTGAGTTCATATGTATGGGCTGCAATCTGCTGAGATCATTGTCCCTCATCCTTTCATAGTTTGTGTTATGTTCATAATTTCCTGTTGATTGTGCATCCTGATGGAAGACACATTCATGTGCCTACCTGTAACACTAGTTCTAATGTCAGTGTTGTCCCTCCACAGGTTGTCATTTCTTCCAAACGGAAGCTGCAGTGACAACGGCAAGCGAATGCTTACTAGTGAACAGGAATCTCTGGATTCTGCTGGTGTTTTCTAACAAAGACAATACAAAGCTATAGATGGCAGCAACCTGTTACTACAAACCAGCGTCAGCTCACAGGTGGAAGACATGGTTTCTTCAGATAATCCAGAGAGGCTCCAGTGCTATAACACTGGGATTTTTACCTTTTCTTGACAAACCTGGAGTTGATTCACAACAATGAACCTGGCAAACGAGCATCTCACAGACTTTGCTCAGGTCATGGTAAAGGTTAAGCCAAGCACAACAGCACATGAGAGATAATTAGCCATGAAATTTGAGTGAAACTAATTAGACAAATGGGGGAGGGAAAAAAAAGACAACAGGGGATGCTACATAGAAAAATCCACCTCCTCCTTGACCAAATGTCATTTCAAATCAGCCATGAGGAGCACCGACCTCACCGTTTCTCTTTTATGGAGCAGACACTGCCAGACTGAAATTGTTGGGAAGTGAATTTATCATGGTCCAGTATCAGCGTGAGCCAAGTTACTTTTTCTGAGGTTACTTAAAAGAAAAATGTACACAATTTTCCTCATAGCCCAAATATAGACCCTTTAGTGTCGATCTATTAATAATCCATTTTGTACGATGCTAAACATCACATCATTGCGTTTCCTTCAGCTACATCAGGCTGCTTTCACACACAAAAATCGCTGTTCATGTACTGAGCAACATGACAACGCTCATCCATCCTAGCTAGAATCAGCGGTCACCTCGTGTGAAAGCAGCTTTAGTCTTTTGGCTCCAGTGAGAAATTAAATTTTGGACACAAAACCTGTCTTAACCCTACACTGGGTAAGAGGAACAGTGCGTACATTTATATTGTGGCTGAACTGTTCTTTTAAAGCAAATTTATTTTTTTCCATCAACATGCTGAAGATCAGCCTGTGGTAGATCCACTTTTCTCCTGAGATGGATTGCTCTATTTATTTTTGTGTACAGTTTTGGCTTCAGAAATAAGGAGCAATGATATTTGTCACCATGTGACATTTCTTATTGTACCTTCTTGTATTCTCTGATACGAGTTTGTGTTGAAATATTGTTTAAAATGTACCTGTGGGAGAAGTGTAGAAGTTTTATTGTTAAAAAAAACAAAAAAAAAACAACAAACAAAAACAAACCCCACCACCCAACTTGTTCTCAGTATTGTATCCATTAAAAAAAAAGCAACATTCTTTACACAAAAGAAAACGCTAATACGTCGTTTATCTTCCCATTATGTAATCTGGAAGAATATTCAGCGGAGATGGCTTAATGAAAATTGGTTAATTACTTAAAATGCTGCATGATGCCCTGAAAGCACAAAAGTGCCAAAATCATTATACCATTGTGTTTAAGTGAATCTATTACACATGAAGAAAAAGGTTGAATAAGAAAAATGCAAACTACATTACGACGAGATGAAGCGACGGCACCCACTCACGAAAGAAAGAACATTTGTACTCTGACAGTACTCTCACTCGGCTTTAACCAGTCAAGTGTGGTGTAAATGATAAAAGATTTAAACAATGCAGAGCATCTCACAGGTAATGTATAATTTTATTACTATTTTTTTTAAAGTTATTATTTTTAAAAGTATTCACAAGAACTCCAATTAAAAACATTTAATTATTAATATGGTAAGCAGATGTTTATGGAAGGGGTCTCCAGTCAAAGCTCTTTATAACAGGATTTCAGGATGCTTCAAAACTTCTTGCCATTCCTGTCATAGCTGCTGTTATAGACAATTAATCAACACTGATTCTGGTTGGAAAAGGAAGGAAGGAAGGAGAAGGAATGAAGGGAGAGGGAGGAAGGAAAATTCTATTTTGTGGTAGACACACACATCAATTGGAAATCACTCATTGCTGCCAGCGATGGCTGAAAACATGGTTAAACCATGAAGATGGCTTTGGACCACACTTCATATAACAGATTTCTACGATAGCTGTAGGACTACAATTGCCAAAAACATTTGCTTCGCACTCAAGTCTCCATCAGTGAACAGCGGATAAGTTCAACAAAATAGACTTCATGTGAAAACTGTAATCTATTTCCTGGATACAAAATGGCACTTTTGGACCATGTAGTACAGAGTTACAGAAGGGAATGATTTATAATTGCACTAGCCCTTGTTTCCCGAGTCGAGGATGGGTTAAATTTGGAGTCTGGATCCTCTCAAGGTTTCTTCCTCATATCATCTGTTTTCCCCCTCGCAACAGTCACCTCTAGCTTGTTCATCATGGATAAATTTACAACTCCGAATCCGAAAGTTGGGACAGTATGGAAAATGCTAATAAAAACAAAAGAGGAGTGGTTTGAAAATGTACTCAGACTTTTTTTTTTAAACAAACAAAAAAACACAAGGTATTTGATGTTTTACCTAATCAACTGCGTAGTTTTTTATTGAAGGTAAACGTTAACTTTGAACTTGATACATGAAAGACGTTCCAAAAAAATTTGGGACAGGGGAAATTTAGGACTAATAAGCGATGTTGAAATAAGAAGGTGATGTGAAACAGGTGAGGCGATCGTCTAATCATAGTGTATATAAGGAGCCTCCAAAAAAGGCCTAGTCCTTCAAGAGCAAGGATGGGTCGAGGCTCGCCAATCTGCCAACAGATACGTTTGTGAATAATCCAACACTTTGAGAACAACATTCCCCAAAGACAAATCGGTAGGATTTTGGGCATTTCACCTTCTACAGTGCACAATATAATTAAAAGATTCAAGGAATACTGTCAAATCTCGATGTGTAAAGGGCAAACCCGAATACCGTTTCTGAATGCGTGTGATCTCCGATCCCTCAGACACAATGAAATTGTGTTTTGTAGTTAGACGAGTCAACATTTCAAATAACTTTTGGACAAAACAGCCGCCGTGTTCTCCCGGCCAAAGAGGAAACGGACCATCCATGCGGTTATCAGCGTTGGGTCCAAAAGCCAGTGTCTGTTACA